ATATGGGGTAAAAATGGGAGCTCATAACCCACTTGAATCAAATTGTGAAATATGATATATCAAGAACTATGTAATGTTTTGAACAGCCAACAATAAAAAATTAAAAAAAAAAAAAAAAAAAAAAAAAAAAAAAAAAAAAAGATTTCATGTAGAAAAAGCCAAATGCCAAGAACGCTGGGAGGGGAATCATCTTCACATAACTCACTTTCTCAACAACTGCCTGCGGATGGATATTACAATTTGGATCAAGAAAAGAATACCATATAAAGATCTGTGGCTAGCAATTAATTACACTATGAATTTTGGTCCAATCATATCAGTGGCCCTTCTGTCATTGTGAAGCAAACATGGAGCAGGTTATAGCCCCACGAGCTGTTGGAAGCAGGAAGAAGATGATCTCACAAACCCAGACACAGAGCCCACCTCCTCTAGAGATGCTCACAGTGGAGGGTGACCCGGGGTGGCGGGGTGGTCCTCCTGGCCCCCGTAATCTTGGCCAGCACCAGGGAGCAGGAAGCTCACTCCCAACTACTTTGTGGAGTATTGAGTCTCACAGATTTGTCATTCAATGCACAGCTTCTCTCTGCACGGCCCACACAGCTAATCCCTGTACTATATTTCTCTCAGTTTTCCCTCCTCCACCCACACTTCTGCTGACTTCTCTCCACACAGGAGAGACAGAACAGCTGAGGAAACAGCAGAGTGGTGGAAAATTTTTGAAAGTGTTTTGAGCCCACCCAACCTGAGGAGAGCATTCAAAGAAAAACAGGAAGAGGGAGAGTAGGAGCTCCCTGGGCCCCCGCACACAAGCAGAAGATTGTCACTCTCACCCACCTCCAGTCCCAACAGGGGCCAACTGCTGGGACCAAGCCTCAATGCCCACATGCAAAAATATGCAAATTTTTTGTGAGGATTATGGAAGGGAGGCAACTGCTCAGCTATTTCAGACACTGCATCACGGAACTTGAGGGCACAGTAGGCTCATTCCATTCAAACACCTACCGTAAGAGTTCAACCAACACCTTTGGTCTTAAATTGGAATATCTAGAGGCCATCATACCTGCAGAATGAATGCAAATCTGAAGGTGGATATGATTCTGTTCTGGCAACCAAAATTAAAGTCCCCAATCTAAAGGACAATTAATGCCCTCCCTCTGAGTGAGTGAGTGAGTGTGTATATATGTGTGTGTGTGTGTCTGATTTAATATTACTCATCCTTTTTCATTTCCTTTCAACTGCTCTTCCTACACCAAACAAGAGCTTTTAAGGCTGCCTATATTTTCAGGGATTGGGGGTGGAAAAAAGATGGGAACTCATTTCGTTTTTGCTCCCTCTCTCTTTGGCTAGAGATTCCAGCAGTTGAAGAACAAAAAGTACAAGGACAAAAGGAGACTGGTAAATCCATTCATCCATTCATTTATTCACTTACTTGTTCTGTACGCCTATCTTCACCTACTTTGTGGTCTAGGCTCCACTGAACTTAGCCACATCCAAAAGAATTAGTCTTTGATCTGCCTTACTCCCTTCAGTGACCTCTGTGGATCAATTTTTGGATCCGGTTTAGTATAGAGATTTTCCATGGAACCCAGAAGTTGTATGAAGATTATATGATCAAAGAATATGTAGGATTGTAAATGTTTTTCTCCATAAACATCCATAGAAATATTTGTAGCCCACACATTAGACTAGTCCTATCTCTACTTTGTTGGCACAATTTATTTTTTTTCAAATTATCCTCAAAGCTAACCTAACTTTTGTTATGGTCAGTATTATGTATTTGATACTAATTGAAATGTTTACCCATTCAAATAACACACATTCGTTCAGTAGCTACAGTATGCCAGACACTGTCTCACAAGTTGAGGCTATGATTTTGCATAATGATCACTTAAAGGAGACAATAAATGAGTGGGATCAGACAACCCTTGTCTTGATGTTCTTTCCAAGAGTGAAAAAAAAGAAGAAGAAGAAGAATGTGATCCTAATACATGCAAAGAAAGTAGGAATTATTTCCATTTGACAACTAGAAGTGATCAGCTTATAGTTCTTTATTTATAAATTCTACTGTATGACTGGTTCCCCATAGCTAACATCTTTCAGACTGAGCTCTATAGATTTTAGCTGACTAGTTCATATTTTATAGTTTTGAAACATCAGACCCTGGAGGGATATTTTAAAGTTGGTTGTAAGGATTAGATGAGTCAGGAGATCTAAGATACACATTTATTTCCAAAAAGCAGATTTTTTTTTTCATCCTGAACTGGAAACCAAGGAGATACAAATGAGTTTTGTAGTCCGGGGTCTATGTCTCTGAGATGAAGGATAAACCACTGAGCTGCCTCCTGTCTGTTGAGGCTGGCCTTGTTATAAGACTTCAAGGCCTATATTGATGAAGAATGGTTCTGATGTAGTGGATCAGCAATAGATTTGGCAAACAAACAGGGTAATAATTTGTGGCCAAGAAAATTTTGCTTGCTTCAAAAACTATCTATTGTCAGATGTAGCAGAGATCCAAAGACTGGAAAGCCACCTCTGGACCATGAGTTGGGCATACTGTTGCCTCTCCTAGTACTGAAGAGTCTTTGAGCACATATTTTAAAATAACTCCATCTCCAGCTCAACTTCAAACTATCAACAGGGCTCTGCATGTGAACTTTCTCTTAACTTCTAAATTTGCTGGATTATATCTACTTGCTGACAAAGGATCTTTGCATTGTTCAAAACTACTATAAACTACATATCCAACCCTTCATGTGCTCTCTTAACAACAGGAAAAATAAAAATGAAATCACTGGCAAAGTCTCAAATAGAATTTTCAAATAGAATAAACCAATAACAAGTTTTATGTTTCAACAAGTTCTACTTTGGTTTTGATGAAATTGGTGGACGGCCATTTCTGCCCCTTTCCCCCAACATGGTACTGAAGATTAAGCCCAGTATGCTAGGCAAGTGCTCTTCCACTGAGTCTACATCCCCAGCCTGATCCACCCCTTTTAAAATAGTTTTGAGATCCTTAGGATGATCAGGCAAAGGAAAAACTTCAATCAAATGAGATTTGAATGGTGCTATATTATCTTTTCATCTCTGTGTTTTTTGTGTAATAAGGGAAACTAAAGATGTACGGTAACTCCCATTTGTCAGGCTGTTGAGGTGTGTCAACTCAACCTGCATAATGAAAAGAATTTACAACTAAACAAAAGAATAAGACAGATCTGGTTTTGAATCCTAACTCCAAACTCTCCACTTAATACCTTGGCCAAATCATCAACATTCTCTGATGAGACAGAGATCACTGCCTACCTCACAGGACTATGGAGAGGTTAAATGAGAGCAAGTACAATCGTTGGCACATTGAAGACTATGAGTGGACACCACTTCTCCTTCCTTCTCCCCTTTTCCTTCTCCCTGTAGCCATGTTTATGAGATGACATCACAGTTCCCTCAGAAAGATGGCTGCTAGGTCTCAAGTTTTCCAGATTTCTGCTGATTTAAATATCCAACTGTGCTGATATGATTTATGCAAATGCCAACTGGGGACGGGTGCCATAACAGAGATGAGTCATTTCACAGTACTCCTTAACAATCTGATCTTGCTTCAGAGAGAAAGGGCTTTCCTCACTGATGGTGGGAAAAACTGCCCTGAGATATAGGCACTCCTGAAATAAGATTCTCATAGTATCAAGGGGACTTTGCAGGTAAGATCTAGGACTCCCCTGAGTGATGTGAAACAAGTTAACAGCTTGAACTTTGAAATCTGACAAAATGAAATTTGGATCCTGATTGCCACTTGCTAGCTAAGTAGTCTCTCAAAGTGTCTCTCCCAGGGTGCTTGTAAGGATTAAACGAAACAACATACACAAAGCATTGAGACCAGCAATGGACACAGAGGAAATGCTTAGTACCCACTGTTCTTTCCTGGCCAGAGGTCACCTCTCAGCTATCTGTTGATTCCTCAGCTGTCTGTTGATTCCTGAAACCTGCCTTCCAGCAGTCAGGGCGTGACCCGAGATGTCTACTGTACATTTCCTATGATCTCACTTCTGCCGCCTACATCCTTCCCCTATGCACTCCACCCAATCCCAATCCATCCTTTGATCACTATTTTATAAAGCCTGTCTTCTACTTGAAAGCACTATAATTATTGCCCAGTCATAGGAAATCTCACACCATAACTAAATAAATAGCTGCTGATTGATCGTGAAGTTAATCAAGAACTTAAAGAATACACTTCATTAAAAAGCTGTCTAATTTCTTACTACTATTCCTCATTTCTATATCCTACCAAAATAGTTTATCTCAGTAAACTTGGTAAAAAAATATCTCTTATCAAAATATAATTATTAATAATAATATTGGTCTATGAAGTTGTTCTAAAGCCAGGACTTTAGAGGTTAAGGAAATATCACTTCATAGGTGAGCTAATGTTTACCAAATGCCTACTGGATACATGGCTCCTTATTGATAAATTTTGGCTTCATCATTTTAGTGAGAGAGCTTCACCCTTTTTTTTTTTTTACTAGAAAAATCTGTGGATTTTTCATGTTCTTTGGAGAGGTAGGTATGTCTCTGTGATAATGTATATGTAATTAGCTCCTTTATGATACCAATACATCATGGAGGCATTCAGATTTACATTACACACAAGTTCAGTATTAGTTTCTCCAGTTAGGTGGTACCTATTCTTATAGAGCTAGTAAAAAGTGCATAAAATATGCATAAATTTTATCTAATGACTCAAGTTAAATATACCTCACAGAACGTTCTATCTTATTAAAATTCACATACATTTTTCTTACAAGGGAGTTATTATTCTGCATTGTAGCATGTGTTTTATTACAAACTTGGAGTTCATTGATGAATAGTGATGAAGCTGCAAATCAAATCAGCAGCTTAGTTAGCTCAGCAGGATTTGAGGATGCTTTTCTCTCTTGGTGAGCTTAAATTCAGAGGGTAGCTTAGGACCTGAGCCACTGCCCTGGGCTCTGGGCAAGCTCCCTTACCTGAGGCCCTCGCCTTCAGGAGAGTGCTGTCTGCAGTACTCCAGAGTGTAGGTCTCCGTGGCCTCTGGGTTGGCAGGCCGCCATCGGATTGTAGCCGTGTTCCAACATACAGTGCAATCCTCAGCCCGAATAACAGGGGTTGAGGGTGCTGCAGAAAGAGAAGGAGGTCATTCAGGGAGCAATGCCAGCTCTGCTTCCCTGTCGCCTGGGAAGAATGGTTAGGCATGATTTTATTTTAAAATTTTTATCAGAAAATTTATTCTGGTCTGAAAACCTCAAAGAGATTAAAATTTATGTTATGAAAAATCTCCCTCCTCTGCCTTCTAAATTTCCCAGTTCTCGCCCATCCCAAACAGCCTCGACATTAATTGCCTATAAATCACACCCTAGTTTCTGAATACCATCTCCTCCACAATCAAATGAAAGTAAAAATGCTTGCCCCTCTCCTTTTACACAAAAGTTAGTCATGATCTTGTTCCCAGCATGTTCTCAATAAAGGTTTGTTTTAAAAGGAAAGAAGGCAGGGTAAAGGGCTAATGGGTAGGAGCAACCTATTGACAGTCTGATGTGGAGACCTGCTGCAGCCCCCTGGGGAAAGATTTCATCATGAGATCGTATTCCTGCTGGGATGGCAGCACTTAAAACATCTTGGATTCTCTATTACAGTTTGAATCTTGAATGTCCCTCAGAGGTCTAAGTGTTGAAGGTTTTGTCCCCAATGAAGCAGTGTTCAGAAGTAAGACTCAAAGAGTGATTGGATCATGAGAGCTCTTGATGTCAGCAATGGATTAGTCCACTAATGGGCTCACAGCTGATGTTTTTTTGTTTGTTTTTAGAAGTGATAAAAACTTTAGGAGAGGGGCTGGGGATACGGCTCAAGTAGTAGCGCGCTTGCCTGGCATGCGTGAGGCACTGGGTTCGATCCTCAGCACCACATAAAAATAAAATAAAGATGTTGTGTCCACCTAAATCTAAAAAATAAATATTAAAAAAAAAACTTTAGGAGATGGGGCCTCACTGGAAGAAGCAGGTCACTGGAAGTGTGCCCTAGAAAGGTATATCTTGTCCCCAACCTCTTCCTCTGCTTCCCAGCTGCCATAAAGCAAGTGGCTTTACTCTGTGATACCTTTCCCACCATGATGTTTTCTGCCTTACCACAGGCCCAGAAACATGGAGCCAGCAAGCCAAGGACTGTAAGCGCTGAAACTGTGAGCCAAAATACATCTTTCCTCCTTTAAGTTGTTTTTCTCAAGTATTTAGTCACAGCAATGAAAAGTTAACAAAGTCTCCCAGCATCAATACCATGACACCCAAGCTTCTGACCTTAAAACAGAGCCTCTATTATATTAGCCTTTCTCGCCTCATGTCTTTCCTTATTTTCAAGTCAAAGAAATAACATCAAACTTCTAATAATATCCTGCACATTCCATTCTGTTTCTTCCGTTGATGTCTCCCCTCATATGTCTTCTTCAAGAGGAATGTGCTTCCTTAACACATGACTTCCTACTGATCCTTCAAAGCCTTTTACACAGGCATCAGCTCTAAGAATCATTCCTTAACCTGCCCCTCCCCTGGCTGTCTTGGGTACCTCTCTGTAGTGCTCACATAATAACCTGCACATACCTGGATCGTGCCTCTTACAAACCATTGCCTATGATCTTCTGTTTCTCTCTCCCCCTCACTTGACTCTGAGCTTCTTGCAAACAGAAACTCATCTTACTCACCATTGTATAATTCAGCACTTTGCCCAACACCCCATGTAACAGGTACTTCATTAATACTAGTTGATCTCAATAATCTACGAAGCTTCCTAACACACCTTTGCATCTCCTTACCTGTTCTAAAAATTGCTCTTTCACTGGGTAGGCTACATCCAGTGAAGTTCACAGCCATTACCCAGACTTTATAGCACCGGTCAGGTTCCAAATCTTCAAAAATGCAGTAGCTTTCTTTCACTGTCAATCTGTATTCTTCTACCAACTCTAGCATAAAACACAAATCAGAAACTCTAAGGTGTCTTACAAAGTTAACTAGACATAGTTTTTGAAAAAAAGCAGTGTCTATTTTTTAGTAGAATAAGCAAACCGTTATTATTATTATAACTTTATAGATATCATTGTGATAATTAGCTCCTTAGAATACATAAGAAAGCAAAGGCATTTGAAAAAGAGACATTTAGAATGACATAGTATTACTTGCAAACATTTATCAGAAAATAATAGCATTTTAGTAAAATTCTGAGCTTCATATACCACAATTAAAGTAACTTATTTCAATAGCAAATATTAAAATTGCATAAAGTTTATGTTAGCCTAAATCTCAGTAACACATTCTCAAGAAAATTCCTAAGAATCAATACCAGCATTTCACAGGAGTAGATAATAAAAAAGGACAACTTTGTGTTTTCTAAACCTAAAATGTTACAAAGCATTTCTATGAATTTGTAAAGTATTTTTGGATATTCAGTATGACTTTCCAAGTTTCAAACCCTGGTTTCTTCTCAGAATTCTAGAATTCTCTAAACTAGTTCTTTCTATAATTTATATTAATATGTAAGTAACTTTGATGGGTCTTCACTCTTCTAAGAAGTAACTTTGTTAGATCAAGATATTTCCCATTTAAATTTCTTAATCTATTTTCCTTTCATTTTTTTTAGTAAATGTTACTCAATACTATTCTGAACACTTGCCCTGTTGGGCCAAACTGATTATTTTTAGTGAAACTTTCTGTCCTTTAAAAAGTATAATTTTCTTTTTTAAATTAGCCTATGGTGATTTCAGTTACCCTCCCTATTGCTCCTGAATGTCACATCTTTAAAATTCCTTCAGTTAAGTGGCCTTTGGGTAGCAGTGGTACAGCACTTGCTTAGCATGTATAAAGCCCTGAGTTCTATCCTCAGCACCACAAAAAAAGGGCAGATAGATAGATAAGAAAAGAAAAATAAAATAAAAGATTGTGCCGTGTGCGATGGTGCATGCATACAATCCCAGGGGCTCAGGAGGCTGAGACAGAAGGACTGTGAGTTCAAAGCCAGACTCAGCAAAAAACAAGGCATTAAGCAACTCAATGAGACCCTATCTTTAAATAAAATACAAAATAGGGCTGGGGATGTGGTTCAGTGGTCAAGTGCCCCTGAGTTTAATCCCCAGTACAAAAAAAAAAAAGAATCCAGATTGTTTCTTTAAAATAAATTTAGGAGCTTGTCAAGTTGGCAGGTCTCTTCAATTGCCTCTCTCCAATGTGATATAGTTCAGGATAGCTGGTTCAGTTCAAAAAGATGTTCTAAAGACTAATACACTAAAAAACATTTCCCCCATAACCCAGAAACTGTGACTGAGTTTTCACTGCAATCACTCCATTAAGCCCTTCTTTTGACTATGCACATAAGTTCCTGGAGACCTTATCATACATAGCACAGTATCAGAGCATACATATATCATCAGATAACTGTCACCCAGCACAGTTCAAGGCATTGAACACTGGACAGGGAAGTGTTTGGGATAGGGTGAGGTGATGATGAAAACAAAATACTCTGAGCAATAACTAGTTATTAAGAGGGGTCTTGAAGTGCCAGGATATCTCATGATAGAGCGACATATAAAAAGAAATGAAGTATAGAGTAAAAAAATAAATACAGAGACAAACATAAATACAAGCTTTTGTTTATGAATCTGAATAAAATGTGTTTGTGTCCTGCCCTTGACATTTACAAATTGTGTAGTCTTGCACAACTACCTGACCTCAGATCAGTATTTTCATTTGCTAAAGGGGATGTAACATATACTTCCTTGTGTTATGACAGGAATATAGTAACAGGTTTTCAACTAAATGGAAGTCCTTATAGACAGACTTAGCCTACTTTACACTATGTTTATGTTTGCTTGTGTGTGTGTGTGTGTTTGTGTGTGATTTTTTCTGTAAAAATTATCACATGACATTTCACAAGACTTAAATATTAGTAACAGGGAAATAGGTTACAATCATTCCTTATGACAAATTGGGCTCCTGAGTTTTGTAACAGTAAGTCAATCCTGCCATGTGCTCATCTAGTTTCCAAGGTATGTGAGCCTGTCTTCAACAAGCAACACAGAACACCAGCACACGCAGTTCTGATTCATCAGGAAGTACAACCCCCAAATGCCTGGTTTCCAGGTCTTCCTAGAAGTCCTGCTGAGCAGAGAGATCTTTCCCAAGGCTCAGTTTGTAAGGCATGCCATCCACTCACCCCAGTAAGCACTTTCACTTCATTCCACACATTAACTTGGGACACGGGAAGACTATCCCATGCCTCAAAGCCTCAATCAAACTAAGGTTTGTTTGTGTCTTTTGTCAAATAGATCTGAGAAGCCTGCCAACCATGACATCCAACACTGCATCTGCACTACTGTTACTGTGGAGCACAGAATCCTGTACACAGTCCATTTTCCTTTATGAAATGGTACATGTGGCAGCCATCTTTCAGACTTCAGTACTGATTAAAAACTTTGTTTTCCCTGAAACTCTGGTATGTTACCACCTTTCTGACAATGAGAATCACTTAACTATTCTGTTATTCTGAGAGCCTAAAGTCAAATTTGAATCTCAGTTACAAAATTCATGTTGACCATTATGGTGATATTTATGTGTTTTTTGTTTTCCTTGATCCTGATTTCCAAATTTTGCCTTTCTATTATTATTTGGTCATTGAGTTTTTGTTAGTATTGTTTGGTAAGTAGCTACCGATGCTTTGTGAAAAGAGTCATAATACATATAGATTCAAGTACTTCATCTTAAGATGCCGAAATAGCACCTGCATGTGTATTTGTGTTTGCAATCCTACCGTTCACTTCTTGGTCATCTTGAGGCTCCTCCATGCAGTACACCTGGAATGAATCAATGACATCTTCCTTGTTCATGCTCCAATAAACTGCAATCGTGGTGCTGGTGGCAGAATTTGGTTCCTGAGGTTCTAGTCTAGGAGGCTGTGGAACTGGAATACAGGTACAACTTACTGTAACTAATGATGTGTTTGTTGATTAGCTGCTCTGCAAACCTTACTTACATTTATGGAAAAAAATCAAACAAAATAGAAATACATGGAGTTCCTGTTTCCAATACCCGACCTCAATTATAATCACTGTTATACAACAATCACTGTTACAGTTGAGTATGCATTCCTCCAGAATGTTTTCTATGCAGTTTATATGTGCACATATAATATACAAAATGGGTCCCAAACTGGGATCACTGGATAATACTCTTCTGTAGTCCTATATTTAAAGCAATAAAAATACAGGTTAGAAGATATATCAAATGAAATATTTCCTTCAAAATAAAAAGCATTCCTTTGATAGATAACCAATGTTGTTTTGTTCTATAGCAAAACAGAGTCTAACTGGGGCGTGGTGGCACATGATTGTAATCCCCCCGCCCTCAAACCCACCAGCTTGGGAGGCTGAGACAGGAAGGTCTCCAGTTCAAAGCCAGCTTCAGCAAAAGCGAGACACTAAGCAACTCAGTGAGACCCAGTCTCTAAATAAAATACAATAAGGCTGAGGACGTGGCTCAATGGCTGAGTATCCCTGGGTTCAATCCCTGGTACCTCCCCTACCAAAAATATAGAGTCTACATTCATAATATAGAGATCATTGAAAACCTTTGTAGAAGGAGTTGAAATATATTCAAGGCTGAAAAAAATATCAAAATACACTTTCTGAAACTAAGATCCCACGTTTTCTTTCCAATATGGCTATAATAGCTGATTTTTAAAAAAATTTATATATAAAAATTACATAGGAAAAAAAGTCATTTATTAATTGAATCAGGTATAAGTTTTAGACATAGTATAATTTTGTTATTCTGAATTTAAAGACAATAATATTCTCAAGTGTTTTACTAGGGATTTTTAAAAATTTATAATTATCCATATTAAGCATTAATGATATAAATAATACTATAAATCAAGCTCTATGCAACTCTCTTCTAAAATTTATGACAAAAACATTGAACATATTTTATAAGTTAGGGGAAAAGGCTATTCCCATAGTTTAAAAAAATATATCATGTTTTAAATTTTGTGTGTGTGTGTGTTTTTTTTTTTCCTCAGCCAACCATTTCCTGAGGGATAAGTTTACTGAAATAAGATGGACCAAATTTCATAAAATAAATGTATTGAAAGTTGACACTAATGGAAAACAAAGTTCAGTTCAATAAGAAGGTTAAAATAAGAAAAAAATAAGTGGATCTAAAGAATGTAACAAGAAGATAAATTGTAAAGATTCATTCAAGATAAAGAGCTGAAGAATACATAGTTATAAAAAATGAGAAACAGGATAGAAAAAATGGTGTGGTTCATAGGCTTCAGAGCACGGAGGCTGGCCAGAGCCCCACTTACTAACTACATTATCTTAGCCTCAGTTTCCCCAGATTTAAAATGAGAAAACATCACCTCCTAGGACTGTTGTAAGAAGCAGGATATTGTGTATGGAGTGCTTAACAAATACGCCCAACACATAACCAGTGGTGACTGGTTCATGAAGGCAAGATGGCCTTGGCAGAAACACAGCAAATGAACAGAAGAGGCAGGAATCTCCCAAAGATGGAAGTTGAACCTGGGCCAGCAACTGGTAAATCATGGCAGCCACAGAGGGAAGACCTGCTGAGACCCACCTGCAGAGCCCCAACCCAAAGACTGGCAGTGGTTCAGAGACACTTATACTATCTTTGACTTCATTGTTTTGTCTTCCCCACAGAAGATCTGCGTCACATGCTACAGGAGCCCATCCAGACAGACAGTTCAGTAAATCCTCATGTTACCTAGATTTACGGAAGAGATGAACAGAATGCTACAAATATTGTCCATTGTCTTTGAAGCAGTTCTAGGGAACTCCTTGAGGCATGAGCAATGAAAATGCTCTCCAGTCCTTTCTATGAATTGCATATTTATCTACATTTGCTTTTTTAAATGGGTAATATCTTTTTACACTTCTCTCTTGGGCAACTAAATAAACTTAAAACAGATAATTGGTCCTTCCAAAATCACCTAATTTTAAGAAAGAAACAGATATAGGAAATTAAAGCATGTAAACTAGAAATTATTTTGTTCCTAATGTTCTCCTACCCCCCAAATAATTAAAGTGAAAACACTTTTTCAAAAATAGAAAATACTTTCACTTTTCAAAGTATTATAAGATGAAAAGAGGAATATGGATATTTCATAAATGTAATCTAATCATGGCTGGATTTGCAATTCCTATGTGGCAAATGAACATCAAAGACCCAGATTTTTTTTATGTTAGTAATTCCCTTTACACTTTTGTAGTGATGAACTTGAATAAGTGTGTTGACAAAAACAAAAACATCAGAACAAAATGGAAGCAGAGGGCTTCTTTATCAGAAGATAAGGTACTGGACAGAGGAATCACCGCATGGATTCCTTCTGTCTGATGGGATGTGCCCATAAAGAGCTGTCACACACAGAGAAATAAGCATTAGTCAATTTGGACTTCAGTACCTGTGACCAAATACAGATTTCTGCTCAACCTCACTTCCAAAAAGCCTCTAAGAGAGCAGCACTATTCACAATAGCCAAGAGGTGGAAGTCACCCAAGTGTCTATCAATGGAAGGATATATAGATGAATGGACAGATGGACCATGAGCAAAGTGTGGTATATACAAACAAAAAAAAAATGTTATTCTATCTTATAAAGTTCTGACACATGCTACAAAATGAATGAACAGCAGGATAATATGCTAAGTGAAATAAGCAAATTATAAAGAGATAAATTACTATGTATGATTTCATCTATATGATGTTCCTAGAGTAATCAAATTCATAGAAACAGAAAGTAGAAAGGTGACTTCCAGGGGCTGAAGGAATGAGGGGAATAGGGAGTTGATGTTTAATGAGTATAGAGTTTAAGTTTTGCAAGATGAAGAGTTTGGGAGGTAATGGTGGAAAAGTGATACGAATGTAATTAATGACACTGACCTGTACAAATAAAAATGGCAGAGGTGATAAATTTTATGTCATGTATATTTAACTGCAGACTTTAAAAAAAAATCCTAGGAGTCAGAGTCAAGGAACCCTAGCTATCACTAATCCCTGTCTATCTCCTTTCTCACAGCAGTGCGCTCACTCTGCCTCTGTACTACTGAGCCAAGACTCTGAAGCCAAAGTCCCCATGATCCTCCCAACCAATTGCATAATTTTGGAAAATACATTGTTCCATTCCTCTCCTTTCTCATCCAACAAGTGGGAATATCAACAAAGGTTGATATCAACCCCTGGGGCTGTTGTGAGATTAGGTAGTTGATTATGCTCAACAGTCTCTATAGTACTTGGCCTCCTGCAAGTTATGGAGCACATGCTAGGATCTGCTCATTCTCAAGGGAATGCCCCATGTTTCCTCATTCTATCTGCTTACTTTGGGTATGGTGTCATCAGATTAGCTTTTCAGGTACATGTGAGGACTTTAAGGTGAGAGTTGTCATTGGTCACAAAACAACACTACTTAGGAGCAAGTCACCCCGGGCTCCAGTTCTGTGAAGCAGACACACAAAGCAGCATTGATCACTCAGAGATGAGTCTCCTCCACAGAGGGGTTAGAACCTCAGGGACTGCACAGTGCACTTTCTGAGTTAATCATTAATCCTTTGTGATAATGTAGCCTTAAAATATCCATCAAAAGTTCAAAAGTATATTTTCTAAATGAACAACAGCATTAAAAAAAAACTTAAAAGCAAAAGATCTTTTGTGTTAATCAGAATTTCTTAGTCTGCAATCACTACTCTAGTTTAATGCCTCTGAAAGTTATTACAAGAAAGCACCCTTTTTGTTCTGAGACATTTTGAAAGAAAATTCTTTGGGCTAAATAACTGAAATCTTCACTTTATAAAGAATTGTTCGGGTTTGACTTTTTCTGTGTGCTGTGGGGGGTTGTTTCATATTTTGTTTTTTTAAAAGACTCAGTAGTCTTTTACTAGTTCCTAAGATAAAACTTGCTACAGGAATGAAAGTGAATTGCCAATTTAAATATGACTGCCATCTTTAAAGTAGCTTTGGAAGAATATAGCATCTTTTAAGAAAAGCACCTGAGCACATTGTACAGTAAGTGAAAGTCAGTAACTCAAAACATGGTAGCTTTGAGAAATCTAAATAAGTTTCATTGTCTTGTTTGTTAAAATAGCACATTAAAAAATATTTTGAAGAGCCGGCAGGATGCTCCTGACAGCTGAGTGGGAAGTTCCTGGCTACAGACCACGATGCTGAGCTGTTACTTCTCTCAGCTAATCTGTTGGGTTAAAAAAAAAAAAAATAGGAAAAAGAACTGAATTGAAGACAGGGAAGCTACTCATAAAGAAAAAATCAGTTCAATGCTTATGAAAATATTTGATCCCTTTTTCCATCTATACCCTGTTACTGGTATGAAATAAATAATTATTTTACAAAGAGGGAAAGAAATCCTATTTTCAAAAGGAAGAGAAGAGAGAGAGAGAGAGAGAGAGAGAGAGAGAGAGAGAGAGAGAGACCCTGGTTCCAGGCCTTCTTCCTCTCACCTCCTCTAACCCAACACAGTCAGAAAGCTTCAAATGGAAATGCAGTTTATCACTGAAATGGGATGATGGTCTCATGCTTTATTTCAGAGTCTAGCTTTAAATTTTACAATAAACAGTTTTCTTTTTCCAGTTATACAGAATAAACAAGCAAAAGCTGCCAGATTTCATCAAGGTAATTAATATATTAAAATGCTTACCAGCCACTTGCTTTAACATCTGGTCACTCCTTGCTGAACTGTCATCATAATGTTCAAAAAGTGAAAACGCAGCAGGAATGTTCTCTAATGAAGCTGTGCTCTCTACGGCAGAAAGCAACCTACCAGGGGACAGATAAGTATTAACAAACAGGATGACAGCAGAAAACAATTTTTCAAAATGAAGCTGGTGTTGGTAGAGCCCCCAGTATCCAAAAAGGATGTAAATCATTTTAGAGTCTGAAAATACATATCTAATATCTACTAACTCTTAGGGTTCTTAGGCTACTGTTAATACTGAAAATTTTCTTTCTATATCCTCAAATTTGAAAAAAAGAAGTCTATCAAAATATACATCCTTAATTTTTTTCCTATAAAAATTATCCTAAAAATTACTTAATTTTAATGATTATCTTATTTCCTAAAGGATATCAAAGTTCAGAGCCTGTCTGGAAACTTCATACTGGTTGTATGTAAGTTTGTTCTGCATCCTCCATCTTCCATACTAAGCTTCAAGTCATTAAGTCATTCAAAAAATGTTGTTCACCTACTATGTGCCAGACACTATACTAAGAACTGAGGATACAGCCTACCATTCCTCAAAGACCAAACGAGCCACAGTTTATAGAGACATATGGCTTTTATGGACTCAAGCCCCTCATAGGAGGAAAGCCATGTAATGCTAACTCAGCATTTGTATCTAGGTGAAATATGGATTTTAAAAACAAACAAAAACAGGTTAACTATGAAGAGTTTGCAAAAGAATTTGTCTTTAGTATGAGGGGACTCAAATAGAGTAGGAGCTCTCCTCCATGTACTCTCTCACACAAGCTTGGGAACTCTCTTCCAGCAACTGTCTATTTTGAGGAGCTGCATCAGTTTCATTCCCATGGACTCTGCAGTTTTCCCTACCACAGATGTACCTCAAGACCTTAGCACTTGCTTCTAGAATGTTGTCCTCCCAGATACTTGCATAGCTCTTTCCTTCACTTAATTAAGATCTCTTTTCTAATGTCTCCACAGAGACTGCTGCTAATATGGCATGGTCTACCCTGTCCAGCTCTCCTCTTTGTTTCCTCAAAGTTATCACAACCTTTTTGTTTTTCACCTGTCAGCTTTACCAGAATATATTACATGCAGAAAAGGAATGGTTTATCACTGTGCGGTAATGCATTACTTAGCACATAGTAGGCATTTAATAAATATGTTTTGAATAAATAAGAGGCCGAAAATTTCATTTGGGGGAGAATATCAGGATCTCAGGGATGGTGATTTGGGGTCAGCATAAGGAGAAAAGATTATGAAGTATTTAAAGAGTGTCTTGTATGCTTACGATTGCTAGACACCACAAAATTTACTACCATTTGATTTAGGGGAGATGGTTCCAGTAGGGACTTCAAAGAGGAGGCTGACATTTAAGCTGGGTGTTAAAGAATCAGCAGGTGTTTCCCAAGCAGGAAAGGAGTAAGTGTATTGCAGATAGATAGAGCAGCATGAACAAATGGTTGGAGAGGTAAGAGAGTATGGCACACTGGAGGGCCAGAGGGCAATTTAGGGAACCCTGGGAGTTGGGAAGTAAAGACAAAGATGAAATAGGAAGGTGGCTTGTGGCTTGACTGTGAGGATCCTTTCATACCCACCAAGAGTTACAATTTTATCTTTTAAGGCAGGAAGAGCCACAGAACTGTTTATGCCAGGGAAGCTTAGAAGAAAACCCTGGCAAGCACTGAGGAAAGACCAGCCCCAGTAGACAAAAGAGGCAATGAGATTGGTTGGGAGGACCCCACAATGGGAAGATAAAACAAGCCTAAACTAAAGCTTTGGCAATACAGAGGGTAGAAACAGTAGACACAGAATTAACAAAAAACGGTGACCCGTACGCACACTAAGCCCTCTCAAAATGCAGAATTTTTTGTAGCACAAAAGCTCTGATTGCAGAAACATAAGTAAAGCATTTGAGTTTACCTTTATGCACTGAACTGTTCAATTTTAACATCAGCATATGAAAGGGCAAGTAGACTTTTTTTTTTAATAAGTAGGCCCTACAATGGCTGTGACCCTCTTTCTTTTTCATTATTATAATACAAAAGAGCAAAGTGGAACAAAAATACATCCCCTTAACAGAACAGCATTTTCTAAGCAAATGTGTTTTTCAAGATATGCAAATGCTGAGTCTAAGTATGCTTGACAGCATTCCTTAATTTAAGCATTTTTAGTGTTAAGAAAAATCATTTAATATACAAGCACTGTCTTTAGAGATATAATATGAAAGGAAGGAGAAAAAGTAGCAAGGTAAAATAAGCTAGATACTTAGTACTTCTTATAGAAAGGAACTCCCAGAACATTCCAACTTAGGGAAGAAGTCCTGAGGACATGGAAGGTGTGTGTGTGTGTGTGTGTGTGTGTGAGAGAGAGAGAGAGAGAGAGAGAGAGAGAACATGTGTGTATGCACAGGTTAACAGGACTTGAATTGCTCATATGTCTTCCCCGAGTCCAGAATTTTGTTGTCTTTTGCCTACAGAAAAATAATGATTATTCCAAGTATATACTACTACTTAGGTAACATGCAACTTTAGTAAAGATTAATTCATTGTCAATGGGACAATGAAACAGAAATTAATTAAAATGACACATAGATTAACAAATTTAAGCTCAAAACCAAAGAAATGGTGTTTGGTATTAAATGGTTGTCAATTCATATTAGCAATGTTCTAATGTTTAGAAAAGTGGAAAACATTCCATAGCAGTTTTAAGGTAAAAAGCCTTTGCAAATTTTCATACCTTGAAACTTTCATTTTCATACTTTCACCAAATTGTCTTACCAATCATCATCTTCCATGAATGGATGAAATATAAATAATCAAATGTGCATCCATACTATTCAGTGTGCAGGGAATGGCACTATGCATCTGCACATTTAAAATTATATTGAAAAAATAAAATATGAGCCTCAACCAGTTAGAAAGATCTCAGGCCTCGCCAAGGAGAAAAAAGAGAAAGGGGTCAGATCAGTACGAGAATTTCAATGCCAGATGCAAAAGAGAAACACGAGGGCTGAGATGTAGCTCAGTGGTAAAGTGCTGGCCTAGCATGCAGGAAGCTCTGAGTTCCATCCCCAGCACTGGGGGAAAAAAGTGTAGGGGGGTAAGGCATAAACATAAATCCAGTGTTATGTTTTTATGACATTTTTAAATTTCTTGTTGAGTGTTTTGCCTTTCAAAAGAATGAAGAATCTCTTAGACTGATTGTTAAGAACACCAACAAAACCAAACAAAATCAAAAGAGGAAGATTCATTTAGGTTAGCTGAGCAGAAAGAGAAGATAAATGCATGACTATCTTTTGAAGAGAAAATGAGAGAACATGCCATTAAGATTACATAAGACGTAAAATTATTCAAGGCAGATATGGATGATTTCTTCACATTCTCATATTTAACCAATAAGTCTAAGTAGCTACAAAACTTTTTGTATGCAGTGACAGGAAAGATGGTGTAGACTGGGATGAAAATACAGAATACATCTTGAGGAAGCAGTTAAAAATCTACATTATGATAATTGTTATTTAACTAAAGCACATGCAATTTTCTTTCAAAGCTGTCATTTAGCTTTTAAAAGCACTGTGTCTAAAAGTGAGAATCCAGTAGCTCACTAAATGTACTTTTTAATTGGCAGCTTGTTTCCTATAAAGCATAAAAATATTAAATGTAAAGCATCCAGTCATGCTATTCTCAGTCGCCACTACATTGTGCCATGTTTTATATACCTTTCATTGATTTCCTCAAATGACTTGGAGAAGGGAGGAGGGAGGGAGGGAGGGAGGGAGAGAGAGAGAGAGAGAGAGAGAGAGAGAGAGAGAGAGAGACTAATTAACAACAAAAAGAATAAGCAAGCAAGAACATTAAGATCACACCTGTTGGAATATCATTACTCCTCAGCTTCTCAGATGCTATTTCTCTTTGGGCTTTAGCCTGGGCAGCAGGGAAATCAGTGCTCAGAAGAGGGGTCAGGGATAGGGCAGAGACAAGGATGAGGGGCAGCAGTTTGCCTCTGCTCTCTCTGGTCAGCAAGGCTGGCAATGGGCTGCTTGTTCTCTGTTTCTATTTATTAACAAATGGCTTGGCTTCCAGAATAGAAGTCACTGAAGCAAGAAAAATGACTAAAATTTGCTCAACGTAGGATACATAACAAAAATGTAATCAGTAGTTATCACTGAGTGACACCTTCTCTGTGCTTTTGTGTATTTTCCAATTTTTCTAGAATGAATATTTATCACTTTTATAGGCAAGAAAAAAATACTTTTTTCCCAATTTATTCTTCTAGAGAGAAGGAAATAATCTTATCAAACAAAGATAAGGTCCTCAGGGAACACAAAAACTTTATTAATGTTATGCTTCCTAAAAGGTACTTGCCTTAATTAAAAATACATCAACCTAATGATTTCAGTTCTCCTTTGAGGATGGCCATGTCCACTAGACTCAAATTTGCCCTGGCTAGAGGTGTCCCTGGAGGCAAATCAAACCCTTAACATTTCTCCATTTTGCCTCACTTAATCCCCAAACTTTTACTAGATAGTTAGAAGGAGAGAGAACTTTTAAATGAAAGGTCCATCATCAAATGGTGCTTTTTCCTGTTCCACAATTAGGTTTGGGACCACCCCCTGGGAAAACATCCCCATTACTCCTGATTAATCCTGGTCCCATGGGGAGCCAGTGTCTTACTGAATATTCTAGGGAATTATGAGGACCTCTGTGGTGCAAAATTGAGAAGCACCCAAGGGAATCTCCCTGTCCACAGTTGCTTGCTTGAATTAAAGAACCCTGTTTTCAGGAAGCCCCTTGGAAAAACACCACCATATTATTTAAGAGGGTATCACAATTTATGTCAGGCTTTTTCATTTAAAAGTGTGTAACAAAATGTTACTCTCAGCTATTAGCTGAGGCTCAGAGGGAATGGTTCATATGAGAGGCTACCTCAGATTAGACAGAGATGGGGACAGGCCTGGGGGTCAGCATGAAGATGTCAGACAGCAGGAGATTGTATTAGCCCTCCGAGAAGTTGGAAGGCTACTTTCTCTCCCTCTTAGATGGAGACCCTTCTAGTGTGACAGCATGGAATGATGATACTGTGGTCCAACTCCATGCATTTTGGCCATATCTAAGCATTAGGGCTTTTATGATTGGCAGAGTCTTTTCTATAGATACGAAATAATTTTTTTAAGTGCCAGAATTATATAAACCCTACACTAAGATATAAATGATCTAAAGGAATACTGAAAGATGAAGTTTTAAAAGCACACTCATGTCAGAGTGGGCACCAGGTGCCTGTTTTACTTGGCACTTACTGTCAGGAAAACAGTCTCATCCAGCTCCTCTGCTTCCCTCACAATGGTCTCTAGGGTGTCCTTGGCAGTGTCCATGCTCTGCAGAAAGTGGACCATCTGGTCATGCAGGAACTCCATCTTCTTTTTCTTTACTTCCTCAAAGCTCTGGGCTTTCTCATCATACTGTGCCAAAACCTTCTTCATCATTTCCTCATTCTGTTCTTCTAGTCTTTTCTCATTCTTGTTACAGTTTTCCTAGGGGAAAAAAATCAAAACCACTTCTGAATGAAACAAGAAGTACATTTTTTTTTTCTTTTTCAAGAATTGACTTCCGGCATTCTGATCAAAGAATCAAACATTAAGGGCACGGTCTAAATTTCCAACTACCAACTTCCTTTGCCATAACTAGCTTTGCAATAGAAATGTTCTTGTTGTTATTCTTACAAATAACTTGTAATAACTTTTTAAAAAATATTTTTAGTCGTTGATAAACCATTTATTTATTTATAAGTGTGCTGAGAATCAAACCCAGTGCCTCACACATGCTAGGCGAGTGCTCTACCACTGAGCCACAACTCCAGCCCTAACTTGTAATAACTTTTAAACACTGAAATACAAAGAGAGAAAGAAAGAAAGAGAGAGAGAGAAAAGAAAGAAGGGAAAGAGGGAGAGGGAGGGAGAAAGAAAATACTTGTCTGTAAGTCTTGCCTACCTGCGTTCCAGATAAAACTTGAAAATAAAAATGGCCTGGCAGTGAGGGAGGATCACGGGCTGTCAGGTTGGGGAGAGGGGTTAGTGTAACTTTCGGTACTCTACTAATATGATAACATGAGTGAGCGAGCTGCCAGGGTATGGAAAAGGGTCCTACATTCTCAAATGTTCTCCTGGGGAGGGGCAGCTCCCACTCTCTCCAGGGAGTGGGAGAGACTTTATTGTCTATCCAGATCCTCCCCAGATATCTGGCTATCCTCACTGCCAGGGCCACTGATAAGATAAACATATAATTCACTGCCTAAAAGGGACACATGGGGGATGAGACAGTAAATCAAGTATTAAGTGTTCACTGATCTACAATAACAGTGTTCAGCATTCTCCTACAAGGGCCTTGGGCCAACTCTGCCACTCCTGATTGACAAGTAAGGGTGCCTGGACCATCTCAGTGCAAGGATGGTGCATTTCTACCCACCCCCTTCAGTATGGGGACAGAAGCCAGCATCCAGGAGAATGTGAACTCATCAGTGACAGTTGTACCAGAGAGGCCGTCATTGGGCCACAGCATGGGGCTCTTGGACCGTGATGTAGAGCATTTATGCAAGGCTAACCCAGCAGGGTAAGTAGAGCAATGCTTTATTAACTCTAGGTCTCAGTGTCTTTTCTATAAAATGGAAACAATAATAATAATAATAATAATAATAATAATAATAATAATAATACCTATTTCATATGGTTACTGTGAGGATTAAATTAGATAAAGCATGTGAAGCATTTGCCCCATTATAGTAAGTGCCCAATAAATGTGTACCTGTTTTTAGGGACTAATCTTATCCTCAGGCAGGAAGTAGTCTGACTTCACACAGAGGGAAGACTCACTTGTAAAGAAATAAAATCAACCGTGGCAAACAACACACACAAACCCCAATTCAGATAATTTTGGATCATTTACTTGTGATAGAGTAAAAGGGATTATGTTAACTTACCTCAACAGTATTAAAAAAGGATTCTATCTCACTAACAAAGGCTTCTATCCTCAAGGACTTCTCTTGTAAATTTTCAAGAAATTCTGCCAACTGAACCTAAAGAAAGGAATTAAAATATCTTTAATATACAACATTTCAAAAAAGAGCTCTAAGCAGCAGACTCTAATTTCCTTATAAATTTAATATATTTGATAGAGATTTATTATGCCATAATCACTAACAAATCAATCTTTGAATTATTTGTGCTGCTTTATTTAAATTGACTAGATAATCTTGTCTGAAAACAATTAAAAGGTTTGTGACGGAGAGTCCCAAAGCAACTGTTGATAGTTTATCTTCTAATGAAAAAAAAAATTTTTAAACAGACTTCTTAAAAGCATGTTTGTTTTAGTGAACTCTGGATCTTAATGCTTTCTCTTAAAGCCTTGATTTTATACATTCTGAAATAGCAGCCCTTTTGCTAAAATGTTCCAATATATCTGAGTAGTTTCCTTCACATTCTGCACCAAGGGCCTCAGGTGTGCCTAGAAGTCCTGAGCCTGCAAAGGTGATCAGAGTCTAGCATATCAAATAATGCAAACCATGTGCTAAAAGGACCTAAAAGTTCTAAAGAGCTTCAAAGGGTTGAAATACTCAAGAAGAGACAACCAACTAAAAACGTAAGGGGTAATGGGGGAAGAGGGTACCCAGTTCAGCTATAGATACACATCTAGCAGCTGAACTAAATTAACAACAAAGCAGAACAACCACTTCAGCTGTCTGAATCACCATCCACAGAATGACAAAGATTACACTGATGAAGCCTCTTCAGGATCTGGCTTCTACTTTCCTCTATGGTACCTACCTCCACAACCTTGCAGTCTACCTTGCAAGCTACAGTCAAACAAGCCACGTCTTTCCCTCAAATTCTTTCTCATGTGTATGCCTTTTGCCTCTGGTATTCTCTAGCTCTAGAATGTGCTCTCTGCACTTGACTGCTAGAAGAGAGGTCTATCTCATTTAGGGCTTAGCCAAGCATCAGCTTTTAGAGACACCTTCCTCAGCCCTCCCCTTTCTGCCCTACTGTTTGATACCCAGCAGGTTAGTTTCTCAGCACATCAGGGTCCCATGGCCCTATCTTGATACAAGGGATCCACAAGTCCTTCCCATTCCTCTCTTTTTAAAATCCTCATTTTTGATGAGCACCATTCCTGACACATAACAGGTCAGTGAACACTAAGAAAGAAGAAAAAGAGTGAAGGAAGAAAATGAGTGATGGACAAAATGTAGGCCGCAATGATGGGGAAGGACTGGGGAGGAAAAGCAAGGACCTGGGTCATCAGTCAAAGGAGCCCTCAGTCCCTGAAGAGACTCAAAATGCAACCCATAAGATGCTAAAAAATTCTCAAGTTACAACTCTTCCCAGTTGATTTTCATTTTTAAAAAGTTGCCAACCAACTCTTAATCTTCATGGCTAAATGAAATGAAGAAAGCCTCCCTGGCTTTTATTAACTGGTTGTCACATTCTCCTGCTCACACTATTTAGAAAGATCATGGTATTTATAATATGTTTAAGTCAAGAGACACCAAATCTCAATATTTTTGAAAAAAATTTTAAATTGATAATATTTAGACAATTATTTTTTAGTGTCTAAAATTCAGAGATCAATAAAACATACCTAAGAAGGCTGGAAAATCTAGTCACCTTTCTGCTGAAGGTGTCCAGTATCTGTTAGCAAACAAAACCCAATGTCGCCACACTTTTACTGGGGCCAATGCATCCAAAGTCTAAGATTCCACAAAAGAAATTGCCCCACTCCCTATCCCTACATTTCAACAGGCAAAGTTTCAACAATATATCAACCAGGATAAATGGAACCAATCTCAGACAAGTTGAAAAGGATTAATTTGGTAGGGAAAAAAATGCCAAGATTCTAATGCTATCCTACTTAATCAAAATGAGTCTGACAATTATTTAAATAGTGACCTAACTGGTCATTTTGAGAATCACTTCCATTAGCAAGGAACGGAGCCAAGCAATATGAATACACAGTCAAGAGCATAAGCTCTGGCATCAGACAAACCTGGGTACCAATCCTGGTTTTCTGCCCCATGGCCTTGGGCCAACATCATGATTCTCAGAGCCCATTTTATTACCCCCAAATTAATGACAGTGATAGAGTTATTATGAGGATTAAAAGGCATTCTGTATATAAAAAAATTTAACACAGTGAGTTCTTACTTTTTGTTGTTATTTGTTGCTTTTAAGGTCATTCTGGCTGCTGGGTGGGAATGGATTAAAGAGGCAAGAGCAGGGAGACCAGTTAGAAGGCTGCTGAAAAGTAGATGGGAGCCTTGAAACATAAAGCTGATTTCCAACAGCATCTCGGGGGAAATGGAGTATTTATAATCACATACATAAGGATATGTGTTATGGCTGACTTTACCTAGAACATTAGAGTGCTACAGACAGCCAAAAGAATGAAAAGGTTTTACATCTCCAGCACAAATTTTCAAATCAAACAGGAAATACAGAGAAAATCAGAATTTAAAATCTGTCTTGAGTATTTATATAAAGCTTACAACAAAATTGCTCATGAAATATATATGTATGTATATTTTTAAAGGATGATATTATAGATGATAGAAAATAAGTTGTGTTTTATGCTTAAAGGTATATACATATGTATAAATATCTTTTTTGAGATATTGGGAATTGAACACATTTGCTAGGCAAGCTCTTTATCACAGAGCTACATGCCTAGCCCCCTTTTTAATTTTTATTTTGAGACTGAGTCTCTAAATTGCCCAGGCTGGCCTTGAACTTGCAATTCTCCTGCTTCCAACTCCCAGGTAGCTGTGATTACAGTATGCATCCATCTAGTTCTTCAAAGGTGTATTTTTTAAGTTTAAAACTGTTTGGCATTTTTAATGATATTAGGATAATTGCTCTAAGATGACAAGCTCTCAAAAGCAGTGACCCTGACCCTATTTTATTTCTTTGTGTCCCTAAAACCTAGAAAAAATGCCTGGCACATAGTATATACCAAATAAAATATCTGAAAAATCAATCTTATCTAAATTCTTGGAGAAGTATTTTTTTTCCTGCAGTGCTGGGATTGAACCCAGGGCCTTGCACATGCTAAACAAGTGCTCTACCACTGATCTACACCCTCAGCCCAAAAGTATTCTTAGTTTGCTTTCAGTCTTAACTATTCTGCATAAAGATGAGTATATCAAATGTTGTATTGTGTTTGTTTTATTTTGTTTTGCAGTACTGGGAACTGAACCTAGTGACACTCTTATCACTGAACTGCATCCCCAGACCTTTTATTTTATTTTTTATTTTGAAACAGCGTCTCACTAAGACACTAAGGTTGCATCTCACTAAGACACTAAGGTTGCCCAGGATGCCCTCAAACTTGTGATCCTCCTGCCTCTGCCTCCCAAGTAGCTGGGATTATAGGCATGCCCACTGTGCCCAGTTTATTGGTCATTTTTTTAAGAAAATGTGAAAACAAACTGAATGTATATATATTATCATTTGTATGCTTTGAAATTGACTTACTTTAACAGCACTTATAGCTGTATCTAGAGTTGAAACCTCATGGTCTTTGTGGGTGCCAAAAACCTTGTCCATTGCAGAAATTGGGCTTTTGCAGGTGTAGCAATATGAGTCAATCTGGGACTTCTTTGCTTCCTTTTGTGCCTTCTCAGTTACTAAATCTGATGATAACTGTTCTTGTTCTCTTCCCTCTCTGCCCAACTCTTTCTGTTCAGCAGACATACTTTGTTCCACCTCACTAACAAATTCACATTTCCCGATGTGTTCTAATGATTCCTTTCCTTGAGATAACACATCTCCAGGTGTGGATTCTGCATACAGTTCTTCTGATAAAACATCTTGACTAACCACTTCATAACTGAGGGATTCAGCAAAGTCATACTCATCCTGCACAGGACTACCACGGGGTCTCTCTTCACATGGCTCAGGTGGGACCTGTACTTTAGGTTCTTCCTGTAGTGTTTCTTGAACATAAGTTGTGCCAGATGCACATTCTTCCTCTGGGAAGGACACTTGTATTGGAACATTCAGACTGACCCCTGCACTTGCATTTCCTGCCTCATTACCCTGACTGCTCAGCTCATCTACACTCTCCAGAACATGATGGGTATCTTCAAATGGAACTGCATAGCTTATCTTCTGGGTAACCACTCTGACTTCCTCAGTGACAGGAGCTTTGCTCTGCATCGCTACATCATCAAGGGCTACCACAAGGTCTACTGTTTCTTCTTCCCTATAAACAGCCTTCCTATCTTCTTCCAGACTCTTCTCCCCTAAAATAGTTCCAGACTTTCCCCCAATTTCCCCTTCTGAAGCTCTCAGTTGGTATGAATCATCCTTACCAACTGGTTTTTCTTCCAGACCTTGGCCTTGGTCCTTTGGAGTTACAGATGTGTCATGGAGAATGTCATCTTTGAGTATGTACTTCTCAAAATATATTCCTGTGCCATCATCAGTGTCAGAATTTCTGCTTGGAAATGATGCCTCAGACTTCACACTGTCACCTTCAGAAGCTGTCTCCCCTTCTTTCTTTTTCTCTCCAACTGCCTCTTCGTAAAGATCCTTATATAAAAATGCAAGTGCAGGTGGTTCCTCCAGAAGCTCAGGATTAACGGCTTTGGCAGTGGTAGGAAATATCTGGGTTCTTGACAAAACTCCTTCCTCTTCACCAAATAAAGGAACCCCAGGTGACCTGGAGTCCACATCTCTATTTATGTCCTTTGAAACATTCCCACCAGCTGGTTTTTGGATAACTGAAGACTTTTGCATTTCTGGATGAGATAATTTGCTGTGGTCCTTTTCCGGGCCATAAAAACTTTCATCTAATTTCACCAAATCATATTCTGGGGCACTTTCCTGTGAACTTCCTGGAAAAGAGAGAGATTCTCCTGTAGGTTCCTTTGACAGTTTCTGTTCAACAGTTAGTTTCTGTGGAGCTTTCTGTTTTTCTGGGTCTGGGGAGATGTTATAATCAATCAAAGTGTATTTTTCAAAATAATCCTCTTCACTGGGAATTTTGGGTTGAATAAAAGCTAAATCACCAGTTTCTGAATCTGTGGATATTGCCTCTTTTGTTTTATGAGTTTCTTTTTGTTCATTTTCTTTCAATGATGTAACTTTCCCATCAGAATCTTCTAACCTGCTCCTTAATGTTTCATGGTGAGCAACTGCCTCACTCTCATCATGGAGGGATATGGTTTTGAGTGAGGGCTTCTCTTCCAAATATTCTAACCTATCTTGCATTTGTTCACTTTCTTCCTGATCCACTGAAGGAATAAATGCAGGGGCATGGATATTCAGTATCTCACAGCCTTCGGAAATGATACTAAAGGCACTCTTCTGATCTTCTGAAAGCCCAGCTGGCTTACTAGTTACTGTCAATTCTTCATCTTTTGCATATATGTCTTCAGGTTCATTGGACATTTCTTTAGTAGAGGCCACTTGATCAGCATTGGTTGTTGTTGCATTCATTATAAATTGAGCATAGTTACTTCTCGGTGAAGAGAGTGGTACATTTACAGGAGTATCCTCCACAGTCTCCAAGTGACCCCTTGAAACAAGAACAGATTGTTTAGGCACCTGGGCTGGGTGATCTTTAGATGTTTGAATAGTGTGAACTGTGGGCCTCTCTGGAGTCAATTCTGACCATGGAATTTCCTGTTTCTTCACTGTGCTAATTTCTGGAGAAGCTTCTGAAACAAGAGTTTGTGCTTTTACAGATGAGAGCAAATATGGCGGTTTTTCTAAGCTCCTTGTTTCTTCAGAAGGACTCTCTAAAGTCCTTTCAGAGTCTTTAGATGAAGAGCCTTGCTCCATACTTTCTTCTGTGGTATCTACTGAGCCACCTTTAAGTAGCTCTGACAGTGAGAACTGTCCCTTTTCCTCTTTGTGACCTGTCATGTCCCTGCTTGACTTTTCTAATGCCAGGTTTTCTTCCTGAGGAGGAAAATCCATTTCATCCTGATAAGGAAGATCCACGGGGCGGAAACTCTTGGTTTTCTCCACCAAAATTTCACTGTCTTCGAATGGACATAGTTGGGTTTCTACTGTCTTTCTGTCCCTGATTTCTGGGTGAGCCTCTGAGAGTATGCTTTCTGGTTTTTCAATAGCAGATGTTGCTTTGATGAATGAAAACGGTTGAGTTTCAGCCAAGGAATTACCTAAAGAGATAGCTGCTTCTTCAGGCATAGACTTGGCCACATTCAGAGAATAAGGCTGAATTTCCTGCTGCTTCTTTTCTTCTAGTAATACTTGTGCCTGCTTTACTTTTTCTTCTCCTTTCTCCTCCTCAGAACCAACAATAACAGAGGACCTTTCCTTGTGGTCTTCATTTGGATAGATGTGCTCTAGTCTAACAGCAGCTTTTGATTCTTCTGATTTTATAGGTCTAGATTTATGCACCATTGGTACCTCCCATGTTTCTTTATTTTCTATAAGCTCTAAGGGAGCCACGCTTTCTTGCTTTTCTGCCAACTCCTTCTTTTCTGCCAAGGTAAGTGATCTGCTTTCTAAGTTATCTTTCTCTTCCAATCGGCTAACAGACCTGAGTTTCATTTCCTCTTCAGAACATTTCAAGGAAGTAGGTTTTGGCATTTCTTTCTTCAGTCTGTCCTCACCAAGATCAATTAAAATGCCTTTTGATTCTTCTGCTGGCACAATTATTGGCTCTGGCTTCTCTGATTCCTTTGTGATATTTTGACTTGTGAAGTCAGATGAAGCAGATCTTGGCTGTTGTGGCATCTTATCTACTACATCAAATGAAAAGAGTGACTTTTCTTTTTGATCACTGCTTGGATCTCCCCTAAGGACAGAAATATTCCACTTAGATGGAGGCGAGATTTCTGGCTTCTGTTCTTTTTTAGTCTCAGTAACATGAAGAGGAACATTTTTGGCTTCTGCCATAACCGATTTCTCATACATGGGGGAATAGGCTTGAATTCCAAAATGTTCCTCACCATCAGCAGAAGTATTTAAGTTTATGTCCATTTCCTCTGAATAGTCCGAAACCTCTTTCTTCCTGTAATCTTCAGTAGACACCTCAGAGTTGGGTTTTGGCTGTTGTAAAACTTCTACCTTTGGTAAAAATGTGGATTTTTCTTTTAGGTCTTGACCTTCACGAGATTTAACTAAGGTACCTCTCGATTCTTCAGCAGTTTTAAGTGTCACCTCTGGTAATGAATCATCAGTTGGTTTCTCAGTTGCATTGAAATCAGCAGGAATTGTACCTTGAGGTTCTAAAACAGTCACTGCTTTTTCTACAGAGGAACTTGGCTGAGTTTCTAAATCTTTTCCAGCAACTTTATTATCTGGAGTGCTTGATCCAAAAAATAAACTAGACATCCATGATTTGAAAGATGAAATGCCTTTCTTTTCCTTTGCTTCCGGAAGGCCTTGTTCAACTGCCTTTGGCTTCTCAGGAAGCTTTTGTGTCACCTCGGATGTCTCTGGGAGTTCAGTTTCTTTACTCACTGGGATTGAAGGGACAGGTTTTCTTTGAGTAGGTATTTTCACTTCAGGTGTTCCTTTAATTTCCTCACTAGCATTATCTACAATCTTTGGCTGAACTATTTTTGATTCTTCTAATGGTTTCTCTCCAAGTAAAGGAGGTGGGCTCTTGCGTGCTTCTTTTTCACTGCCTGGTGCAGGTTCCCTGACTTCTTCTGGGAAATGGTCTGCTTTGACAGGAAAGGGGATAGTTTCTGTCTTCACCTGTTCCACAGATGGGGCAGGCACTGGTTTCTGGAGGGTTCTTTCAGGAGGTGATTTGATTTTTTCCTGAATATCTTCTTTGCAAGACCTGGAAAATTCTATGCTTGCTTTCTCCAATATCAAACTTTCCCTCCCCATGAAAGAATAGAACTGTCTCCCCTCTGCTATGTTTTTCTCTACATTTTCAGCCGGAACTAGAGATTTGGGTTCTTGGGCCAACTTTATTTCTTCAGTTGAGTAAGGTGTAGTCAATAAGGTCTCTCTATTACCACTGGAAGTATCTAGAGTAGATACTCCTTCTTGTGAAGACACATGAGGTTCTTCCATAGAATGTGGCAGAACCTGCTTCCCGATTTCATATGTATGATCCTTATCCAATGGGGCAGGCTTGGGCTGTTCTGTCATAAGATCATTGCTGCCAGAGGAATTCAGCTGCACAGATTCTAATATTCTTTCTTCTTGTTGACTGGCCAACTTTTCTGGCTTTTCCAGCATCCAGTTATCATCCTTTGGAGAAATTAGGGCCTCTTTCATTTTTGTTTTTTTAGGAGGCTCAGCTGTCATAAATGATTTTGATTGTTCCAAAGGCAAATTCTCTTTCATAAATGAAGACTGTTTAACACCCAGATCTGGTTTATCTGCAGAAGAGCTGCTCACATCAGGCAATTTAACAGCTTGATCTGAATGAAGTGCTTTCTCAGGCTTCTTTTGTTCTACAAGGAAGTCAAAAGAAGCAATCTTTGATGGTTCTGTAGCAGACACATGAAGCTCCCTGTTTTCAGTTCCTTCTCCTCTGCTTCTAAGCTCAACTAGACTCTTTTCTAAGAAAACAGAATCTTCTGATTCAGTTATAAGAGATTTTACTGGTTCTGTTCCTGTGGATTCACTTTGCCTACCTAAACCACCTGTGAATTCTGACCTGGCATCTGGTAATTCTGATAATTGGTGTGGCTCGTCTCTCTTCTCAGTCTCCAAAAGGAGCTCTGCTGGAGCCAGATCTTGTTTTCCTGGCAGGAAGTCTCTCTGGGCTGTAGAAGATGTCTCCCTTGCCTGTTTGTTCTCATCCTCTTTGAGAGTTAGTAATGTTGAGGCTACATCTACTGGCACTATATTTTCAAACTTGGGAGAACTTGTCTCCTCATTTTCGCCTTTGGGGACTATATGTTTGGGCACAGGTGACACATTTTGTGGTGAAGGAAGTCTGGCTTCTTTCTTGATCTCACCACCTAGGTGCAGCGAAAGCACAGGTTCTGGTCTTGACCCATCCAAGGCAGACACAGAGTTTTTGTTCTGTGATGAAACCAAATGTTCAGAGTCGAGGACTGTAGACAACGAGAGATCTTGTAAGTCTTCTACCCTCGCTTCCTTAGATACATCTGAAAGCTGAGAAGATGACATTTTGGATATTGGCAACCCAGGTTTATCTTCCTGAGTTTCAACTTTTGACAAAATAGAATGCTCTGCAATAGAGGATCCACTTAGAGGTGTATCTAATTTAATTTCCTTCTCTGCTTCTGACCAAGCCAGGCCTTTGGATAAAGAAGATTCTGTGAGAGAGGAAGCACTTTTAATTGCTACCTTTTCTTCTTTAAGAACTGAATGCTCATCTACAGACGTTTCACATGGTGGCAAACCACTTCCTAATTCACCTTCTCCTAATTTTGTTAAGACTGGATATTCTACAGGGGTGGCAAGAGATGAATCTGTCAGGATTTCTTCTTTTACCAATTTGGTCAACTTTGAATCAAGCTTAGTTATAGGTGTGATGGTTGTTGAAGAGTTGGGTTCAGTTTCTTTCTTCATTTCTTTTGACCAAGCTGAAAATGCTGGTGCGGGAGCACCCTGTTCAGTTTCCTTTTCTACTCCTGATGAGGCTGAATGAAGCTCTCTGGTGGTACTTGTTATTTTGGAATCATGTTTCACTTCCGTTTTCACTCCAGATAAAACCTCCGATCCAGATATAGATGTTTCTTTTAGAGGTGAAGATGGTTTTACTGCTTCAGGCTCATTCTCTGACAACATTCTCCGTTCTAGTTCAGAAGTCACAGTTGAAGCTAAATTGGGTTTAACATCCTTCTTTGGCTCATCTACCAAGTCAGGAAAAACTGAATATTTCATCCCAGACTCTGGAACATTTGGAGGCTGAGGCTCCAATTTTTGATCCTCTGATACATGTGCTGTAGCTTCTTGAGAATCAGGCACAGTTTTTTCCTTTCTGACTTTTGACAAAGCCATCTGTTCATCTGCAGTCTTTAGAGTGAGTGATGCTTGAGGTTCCGGTTCTTTCTTAATTTCATGGACTGAGTCAGGTAAAACCGAACACTGAGATGCTGGCAAAACAGGTTTTGTTTCTTCCTTTGCCATGGATGACTGTGCAGGTGGAGAAGCAGGAACTGTAGCTGCTGACAAATTTGTCTTAATTTCTCCCCTCTCCAATCCACTGGTTAAATATGGTGGAACCAAATCTTCCAGCTCGGGCTGCACAGATGCTTGAGTTTTCCACTGCTGTGCCATAATGAGATATTCAGATACAGATGCTGAGATTGTTTGATCATCTGGATTGATTTCTGCTTCGCCTGCTCTATTTGCTGAAGGTGGCAGGCTCGATTCTTCAGATGCAGATGTGAAAGAGCAAGGTTCATCTTTTTGCTTCTGTGATGAGTCAAAATTCTCAGGTACAGGTGTAGCAGCTGTTGATCCAATCTTTTCCTCATCTGCTTCAGAAAAGGAAGAGTAACCTGAAGCAGACATTGCAGTTAATAGTGAATCTGGCTCAATGTCTTTTGCCTCTGTTTCTGGGATTCTATATGGTGGGATTGAAACTTGTGATGCTGAATCTGGAGAAAAAAGTTCAGTTTCTTCAGTGTCTTCATCTGACAAAATAGTGTGTTCAGATGGTGATGTTAAACACATTGGAGAATCACGCTCGAATTGTCTTTTCTCTGCTTCCTGAGTTGTGTAGGGTGAAAATGAGAATTCTGAGGCAAATGCAGAATCTGGAGAAAAAGGTCCAATGTCTTCTTGCTCTCTTTCTGATAAATTCATGGGTGAGGAAGCACCTTTTAGATTTAGAGGAGATATGTTGATAATTTCTTCCTCCTGGGGCTCTGGTGTTGCATATGGGGGTACTGAAAATTCAGAAGCAGATGTGGAAGAGGGTGAATACCGCTGCATTTCTATTGTCTCTTCTTCTGATAGGATCACAGATGGAGAGACTGAAAGTGATGGGGCCTGGCCTTCAGAAGCCATCTCGGCTGTGTGGGATGGGAGAGAGCATTCAGATGCACAGGACACATCTGGGGAATATGGTCCAGTGTCTTTCTTCTCTTCTGGTAAAATGGTGTGCTCAGAGATACCTTTTGATTCTAATGGAGACTTGTGGTCAACTGTTTCCTTCAGTGACTCTTGTGTTGCATGGGATGGAACTGAATATTCAGAAGCAGATGTGGAATCTGGTGTATGATGTCTACTTTCTGAGGCCTCATCTCCTGATAGGACTGTGTGTTCTGATGTAACTGTTGAAAACAGAGGGGCCTGGCACTCATAAGTCATCCCAGCTGTGGATGGCGAGAGAGAACTCTCTGACACAGAGTCCAAAGTTGGGGAATAAGGCTGAAATGCCTCATTCTCTTCTTCTGACAAGACTTCATGTTCAGATATGGCTTTTACACTGGATGGAGAAACTGGCTCATCTCCTTGCCTCTCTAGTTCATGGTTCAAATCCTGTGGGATTGAATACTCCGACACAAAAGCAGAATCAGTGGAAACAGACTCATGTTCTTCTCTTTCTTCCTCAGACAAAGTGACATATTCAGGTGCTGCTGTTACCAGTAATGGTAGAATGGGCTCCTCTTCTTTGTGCTCCTCTTCTTTGTGCTCCACTTCAGGGGACAAATGTGGTGGGAAGGACTTCTCAGAAACAACTGGACTTTCTGGGTAGTCAAGTTCTATAATCTCTTCTGCTAAATCAGAATCTTCAGGTTCAGGGATAGCTGCTATTGGCAGAGAAGTTTCTATTTCTTCTTTCTCTGGTTCTTGTAGCACTACAGGTTCTGGAGTTGACATGGATGGCTCAGGCACATGGTCTTCCTTTTCTTCTTGGAAGCTGGGAAGAGGAGGGGTCAGTCGTTCAGAGACTGGTTCTGACCTTTCTAGTGAAGTCAAGTCTAGATCTTCCTTGTTTGGCTCAAAACCTTCCTGGATAGATGGTGCCAGACCTAGTGAGCTTGTCTCCAGAGAATCCTTCACTGTCTCCACTGAAATGGAATGGTCAGTAGAATCCATGTTTTCCTCTTTCACCTCATCCACTAAAACTGGTGAAACTGAAGCATTGTTCTCTGAAACTATGGGTTCTTGTGAATCAGGCTCAAATTCTTCCTTTGCTGTTTCCAGGAACATACTTGCAGATATACCAAGTGGAAGAGAGGAAGGCTCCACTAGGGGCTTTGCTTCATCGCTTGGCCATTGTGGCACTGATTGTAGAGGCCTGCACTGTACTTCTCTCTCTGCTGTATCATTACTTGAATAAGAGGAATCTGTGTGCTCCCTTACAGATGTGGCATTTTGAAGGGAATCACTGTAAATTTTCTTTTGATCTTCATAACTGAACAAGGAAGTCAGGGACTTTGATCCTTTAGAGAGGGCACTTCTCCAGGGTGGAGCAAGTTCTTTTACTCTATCCTCAGCTATGCTTTGGGTTACTAATTTGCCTGTTTTAGAAACTATGTTAGAATCACGATTGTCAAAATCTGGCTCTAGACTAATAGATGCATCTTTCCCTTTGCGGTAATGGATTTCTTTAATTACATAACCCTTTGGCAATGTTCCATAAAATTGTAGAGGAATTAATTCTTCTTTAACCGAATTAAACATCTTAATTTTATATTGTACTGTTCCTATGTAGACTGGCCTTAACACTAAGGGCTTGTGTTCTTTGTATATTGCCCCAGTAATAGGAGGTGTATTTGAGGTGGTTTTCTTTTTTCTTGTCTTATCATAAATGCCAGAAGATAGCTTTTCTTTCTCGGTGTTTAGTGCCTGGCTTTCTGAAATTAAAGGATTGTCCTTTTTACTTGCTGGAACATCTTGAGATTCTAAAGAATTTCTTTTTTTGTTGCCTTTCCGACGCAATGATGGTGACCCATGCTTTGACTTATGAGTTCTTTTCCGAACCTTTTTAACTTCATCCACAATAAAGGAAACATTTCCTGGAGGAGAATTCACAGTTGATCCTTCCAGGCTACATACACCAGATGTCTGTCTTTCTTCCGAGGCCCAAGGAGTGGAAGATCTACTTGAATTGGTCTCCCAAGTTATTCCACTATCTTCCCGTTGAACTGTCACCATGGAAAAGGAGGGGTCAGATATGATACACTCTTGCTTGGTCTTGCCCTTTTCATCCTGGTCTGATAACCTAGAGTAAATAATAAATATCAATAATTATATATTACTATAGTAATAGAATAATAAGTAAATATACTTTAGCATTAAAGGGTAAAGGATTAATGTGAAATTAAAATATATAGAGATCAATGTTGCTATCTACACCAAAAATAGTAATGTATACAAAATAAAGTTCAAAAATTAAAGTCAGGATATTAAATTTAATAACATATCCCAGGCCAGAATAACTCAATATCCCTCAAACTCCAAAAACAGCTGAATTAAATTCAGCTCCTTCCCTCATCAGGATTTCCCTTCTGATACCCCTGTGGCTCTTCCATTTAGAATATGATTCCAATGTCACACTCCACTTCTTTTTCACATCTAAATACTATCTACCCTTCAAGGCTTAGTTTCAAACCTTCTGCTGCTATCATTCCTGATCAATTAATTGGTCGTGTTTGCCATTATTCCATGAACATTAAGTTGGAGATGAAAACTCCAAGCTCTCTTTCCTCCCAGGAATAGTGCTACAATTTTATGCTCTGAACCTTCCTTGTACGTGAGGTTTGGCTGAGGATCAGGACTGCCAGCCATTGCAGGTATATCATATACTCCCTTGTTTAACTTCAGAGTCCCCCCACAGTCTACTGCAAAGGGGTTTGGGGTATGCTGAGATCTTGCTCTCAGCTCTCAGCACAGTCAGATGGAGCCTGGGACAGCCATACCCCCAGCCTCTAGCTTGCTCTAACAGGCAGCCTCATCCATTCACCCCAGTGTTGGGTAAATGTCAGTGTGTTCTACACATGTCATGGGTGCAAAGGATTAAGAAATAGTGGGAAGAACTAGTTTCTTCATTTTCCTGGCAACTCTACTCTCCCTTATTTGTTTTGGTAATAAACTATTGAACTTAATTAGTAATTAATCTTGGTTCTCGGCTGAATCTTATTTTGAACTGTTTTTTCAAGTTCTTTTCCATACCTAATTAATATTATTCCTGAGAATTTTCAACTCGTATTACTCCCTCCCCATTTTCCTGTCACTTAACAGAAATAGGATGAAAATAAAAATTAAAATTATGACTAGCACCAGAGAAGTCAGCATTTAAAATGCCGGCAACTGTAGTAGCATTATAAAAGCAATTATAAATTCAATTTAGAGTTCATTATTGATTGTAAATTCAGTGTATTCAACCAGAGACGTTTTCATTACTAGCTAGAATGAGTTCAGGAAGACTGAGCAGAGTATCCAAAGGGTGGTCATAAGAAGGCAGCACACTACTGTTGTAGTTTGGATATGAAGTGTCCCCCAAAAGCTCATGTATTGAAAACATGTTATCCAATGTAGCAATGTTCAGAAGTGAAATGATTAGATTATTATAACTGAAATCTGATCAGTGGATTCATCCTTTTATTGGAGTAATAATTCTAATGAACTAACTAGGTGTTAGCTATAGGTAGGTCAGGCATGGTAGGAGGAAGTAGGTCACTGGCATTGTCTTTTGAGTTTATATTTGGTCATTATTTCTGCATTTAGTAAACTTTTTATTAAGTATAGATAGTAGAAACACAAATATGAAGACACAGGATCTTCTTTTAAGAAATTCAAATCTAATGAGATATAACTAAACATCTCAATAGTATATAAGTATTATTATAGAAAATATTATTACAGTATAATAAGTATTATTACAGAAAACAAGCCAGCTACAATAAGGACATAAGGAAGGGAAAACTTCACACAGGAGAGGTGCTTAAGTTAGTTTGAAGAGTCTGCCAAATGGATGAGAAGAGAAGGTGGAATCAAGATGGGGAGGTTATTCTAGGAAAAGGTCACAGGATATGCAAAATATACATATGAATAAACAGTCTGGCTCACTGAGAGACAAAGTTGAATGACAGCCAACAGAAATCAGAATTACTATATTAGCATATGTAAATCCAAAGCCCAAGAATTCACATTATACTCCATCTAAAGATATAATGAACTAAGTTAACAGAAGAGGCATGGTCCCTACACTATTCAGAAATGCTCCAGGGACTTTCTTACTCCGCAACAACAGTGTTTTCAACAGCTTTTCATAAAGAATATTGGCTACATCCATTCCCCTCTGATTGCATTCTCACAATGCAACCTTCTGATTTATCACTTGGTTTCCCAAGTAGATTTATTTATCTCAGGGAGTAAGGTGAAACAAATCTAATGACTCTTTCCTCATCCCCCTTTCACAGGGGTTAAGAAGGTTCAGCAGGTCTGAGTTAGATCAAGAAAAGAATAGACTAATACTAGAGATGAGCATCAAAAGCTCCTTTTGAAGATAACCTTTATCTTAATGAGGAAGTTTTCTTTTATTTGTTCTTGCTAAGACATGATTTTAAAAACTAAGCATTAAAAAGGTTTTGTGCAACTATGGAGATGATCATGTTATTTTTCTTTACCCTATTAATGTGTAGAACTATTGCAATTGATAGCAGATGTCAAACCAACCTTGAACTCCTGAACTGAACTCACCAAGCTGTAATATTTTGTACTCTTTATGTAGTTCTTGATTTGGTTCTAATGCTATGTTTAGGAATTTTTCTCTTATGTTCATGAATGATATTGATCTACTGTTCTGAAATCTCCTTTCTTACAGTGTTCTTGACAGATTTTTGTATCAAGATTATATTGCTTCATAAAATGAGTTGAAAAGTATTCCTTCCTTTACTATTCTCTAGCAGTTTGTTATGGATTGCATTATATATTTCTCCTTTAAGTATTTGGTAGAATTTATTGGTGAAGTTCTTTGGACCTGGAGTTTTCTTCATTGTAAGGTTTTCTAGTTAATAATTTATCTAATAGTTTAATTTGCAGTTATCTCTCTACTTTCCTGTGAAAGATTATTATGTCATTATTTTCCAAACTTTCTCCTTTTCTAACATGTAAAGTCAAGGCTATGCACTTCTCTTTAAATACAATTTTAGATGTGTCACATAAAATTTGATACACAACATTTATTATTAATGACAAAAGTTTTTAAATTTCCTTTGTGATTTCTTATTTGGCCTATAGATTATTTAAAAATATATTTCTTAATTTCAAAACTCATGAGGATACTTTATATTTTGTTAGTGTGTTCTAATTTGTTTGTTTGTTTTTTTTGTAGGTTGTTTTGTTTTTGTTTTTGTTATTTTCCAACCCTTTACCACTAACCTATATCCTCAACCCCTTTTATTTTTTATTTTTTTAATTTTTTTTAAAGAGAGAGAGAGAATTTTAATATTTATTTTTTAGTTTTCGTCGGACACAACATCTTTGTTTGCATGTGGTGCTGAGGATCCAATCCCGGCCGCAGGCATGCCAGGCGAGTGCGCTACAGCTTGAGCCACATCCCCAGCCCTTATTTTTTATTTTGAAACAGGGTCTCGCTAAGTTGCTCAGACTGGTCTTGAAATTGTGAACCTTCTGCCTCAGTCTCCGGAGTAGCTAGAATTATAGGTGAGTGCCACAGCATTCAGTTTACGTTCTAGTTTAATTGTGCTGTGATCAGAAAGTTTATTTTGTAGTAAGATTTGCTTCTAACTTTATTGAGACTTGCTTTATGGCTAAATGGTCATTTTTTTAAAAAAAATGTGTTTGTGGGACTAGGGATATAACTCGGTGTTAAAGTTCTTGTCCAGCATGTGTGAGTTTGATCTCCAGTAAATACACACACACACACAGTTTTTGTATTCATGAAAAGAGCTAAATCCTCCATTTTTTCAGCAATGTATTATATGTGTCAAGAAAGTCAGGCTTTTTAGTTGTGTTATTCAAATCTTTTTTATCCTTAGTGATATTTTTTGTCTGCTTGTTCTAATACTGAAATGTGTTATCATTTTGTACTACAATTATGAATTTGTCTCTCCTTGTAGTTCTATTAACATCTGATTTATATATTTTGAAGCTACACTAGCAGATATAAATGAATTTAGAAAAACTATATCATTCTGAAAAAATTAATTTTAATCATAATGTTCCTTTTACCTGTAAATAATGATTCTTACCTAAAGTATCAAAGTATTGATACTAATAAAGCTTTGATATGATTATTAACAAAGATATACCAGCTATATTTTGACTAAGGTTTAAATTGTATATCTTTTCTTCATTTTTACTCTTATTCTTTCTATGTTCTTACATTTTAAATGTGTCTCTTATGGACAGCATATAATTATTCTAAAAATTTATTCTGACAATTCAAATGGAGCATTTAGTCCTTTTAAACATAATTACCAACATATTGGAGTTAAATTTGCTACCTTGTTATTTGTTTTCTATTTGCACTCCTCTAGTTTGTTCCTCTTCTCTCCTTATTTGTAATATTTTTTTAAATATTTATTTATTTATTTTTTAGGTGTAGATGGACACAACACAATGCCTTTATTTTTATGTGGTGCTGAGGATCGAACCCGGGTCCCATCCATGCTAGGCAAGCACTCCACTGCTGAGGCACAATCCCAGCCCTATTTGTCCTATTTTTGATTAGATATTTTACTTTATTTCATTTCCCCCTCTGTTAGCTTGTCAGTTACATTCTGTTTTCTGTTCATTTAGTGATTATCTTAGAAATTACAACATGCATCCTTAATTTGTTAATGTCCAACATGGACTGGTATTTTTACCTCTTTCTAGACAATATAAGTACCATGAATTACTTTCATATTAACTTATACATCCTTGTAATCATATATTTTGTCTTTAAATGTATTTCATTTTCATAAGATATAATTACTTTTACTCTAATGTAATTACTTTAAAGTGTCTATATTGATTTAGATTTACCTTGATAATGAACCTTTCTATTGTGCCTCATTCCTTCCTTTTTCTTTAAGATTCTATCCGGAATCATGTTCCTGCACCCTGAAGCATTCTCTTTAGTATGTCCTCTGGAGTGAATTTTCTGGTGACAATTTTTTTTTTTTTTTTGGCGGGGTGGGGGAGTGGGGGAGGGGTGGTAACAAGGACTGAACTCAGGGACACTCAACCACTGACCCACATCCCCTGCCCTAT